GGCCCAACTATCAACTACTAATTTGTAATTTTTTAACCCTTCACCCCATTCTCCCAGCCTCCTAACCTCCCCTCTGACCATCACTAAATTGTCCACTATATTTGTGAGCCTGTTTTTGATTAGTTTGTTCTTTTTGTTCCACATTTAAGTGAAATCATATGGTATTTATCTTTCTCTGTCTGACTTATTTCACTCAGCATAATAACCTCTAGGTCCCTCCATGTCGTTGCAAATGGTAGGATTTCATTTTTTTTAATGGCTGAGTGATATTCCATTGTATATATGAACCATAATTTCTTTATCCAATCATCTGTTGATAGGCGTTTAGGTTACTTCCATAAGTTGGCTATTGTAAATGTGCTGCTATGAATATTGGAGTGCATAGATCTTTATGAATTATTGCTTTGGTTTTCTTCGGATAAATACCCAGAAGTGCAATTGCTGGGTCAAAAGGTATATCCGTTTGTAATTTTTTGAGAAACCTTCATACTGTTTTCCATAGTGGCTGTACCAATTTGCAATCCCACCAAAAATGTATGAGGGTTCCCTTTTCTCCACATCCTCGCCAACACTTGCTGTTTTTTGATTTATTGATGATAGCCATTCTGACAGGTGTGAGGTGACACTGTGGTTTTAATTTGCTTTTCTCTGATGATTAGCGACCTTGAGCATCTTTTCATATGTCTGTTAGCCATCTGTATTTCCTCTTTGGAGAAGTATCCGTTCAGGTCTTCTGCCCATTTTTTAATTGGATTGTTTGTTTTTTTGTTGTTGAGTTGTATAAGTTCTTTATCAATTTTGGGTATTAACCCTTTATGAGATGTATCATTAGCGAATATCTTCTCCCAGTCAGTTGTCTTTTTGTTTTGTTGATGGTTTCCTTTGCTGTACAAAAATTTTTTAGTATATGCTAATTTTTTTAAATGCCAGTGATTTTCTTAGCTCCTATAAGCAAATGATTCTTGCGTGTACAAGTAGACAGTGGTTTGTGATGTTTCCAAAAAGAGTAGAATAAAGTTTTGCTTCGTGTCACAAGCTATCCCAGAGTTACACCAATAAATAGGAAAGTACCTTGGAGCAAGCTGTCACTTAACAACTAAGGATGTTAGCTATAAACTGAGCAATAAGGTTCCTGTTGTGCATGGGAACACCTGTCATCTGCCATCCCCTGCCGTGTATTTGCAGAAGAATAAACACAGGCAATTCATCTTGCTTCTTCCTTACCTTTTAGAGTCAACAAAACAAGGAGCCAGTATGAATATTTGCAGACCCTTTTGTTATGTGAATCTCAGTGTTTGCCACTGCCACCCATACTCTGGAGCTTAATTTAGCTAAACCCCAACCCAGGGCTGGTGCCCCTCTAAGGGCCACCAGTGACAGTGAGCTCAAAAGATATGGTTGTGAAACATTCTTGCTGAAGTGGTATCTAGAGGAAAAAGTACTATATAAGTACTATATATAATTGCTTTACATAAAGATTTATTTGATTTTTTTTATGTTGTAGAGAGTTGAAATTCGTATCAACAGCTTATATTAAAATACATCTATGACAACACTGAATTCTTTTAACAGACTTAGAAGAAGCTATAAAAACACCTGACTGTTCCAGTGGACCAGTGAGAGAGGAAAGAGGTGATCTTATCAAATTTTACAATACAGTCTATGTAGGAAGAGTGAAGTCATTTGCATTGAAATATGACTTGTCAAATCAGGACCATATGGTATGTTTTATATTTTGCTTCTTTATTAATATCTATAGTCATAGTTGGGCTGCTGTGAGTTTATTTTACTAGATAAGTATTTCGGAGTTAAAGCCTCTCATGCATTATATATATGAGAGAAAATATACAATTCATTAGAGAGTGATTAAGGCTATGATACAACAGAGACCAGAGGAAATCATGGAAATTTTATCCATACTGTGATGATGTTGTTAGAAATTATGTATCCATATGGGCAAGGACTAGATGGGAACACAGAAAAACGAAAAAAAAAATTTATTCTGTGAATTTTTTCTCTTGTTTTTGATTTCAGTTGTTAACATTTATAAGATGAACGTTTTTCTCAAGATAAAGAGAAAAGAAAATAAATAGACCTGAATTATAAATAGAGGCAGCACGAAGAAATTTTTATGCAGACCCTAGATTTGGCAGTACAAGCAGGCCTGTAAAAGTAGTATTACCAGTATATAAACTGAGTTGGTTCCCAGTAGACCAGACTTTAGTTATAAGAAAGCAGGACCTAGTAGAAGCTCCATCCAGCCAGTAGCCACATATGTTTATCCGTGGGTCTCTCTACATTTCTCTCATTCCTTTCAAAGGATATGATGTGTGTGACTATCCATCCTCAGAGGCCATGACTGCTCATCCTTTTCCATCAGTTCTACCTCTCATCATACTGTGAATATCTCTATCATCAGGCAATTAGTTTTATTAGCTTTAAGTAAAGAAATAATAATTAAGGAGCCATCTTCATTTATTCTTAGATTGGAAACATCATATAGACAATTAAAGAAAAGTACAGTCCTTGCTGACCTAACTCTATTTCTAAATCTTTTGCATTTCAATATAAAATCTTAACCATTTCATTAACAGATTTGTTCCATGTTGGATTCATCCCACTGACTCATAGAATTCTCTGCCTCTTTTTTTCTTCTTTGCTACATTTTTGGTTCTGGGTATATGTACGTGGAGAGAGATTCTTATTGCAAATGTTGGGACATTGATTACTCTTTGCCCCTACTTTCTGAGTATGGGTGTGAGGTTCCTATGCTCCTGGCTTACTGCTTCTGCTATGTTACCCGTGAAGGACAATGGACCATTGCTTTGCTATTTTTCAGCTATAAATAACTGACTTCTAACTAGGAGATGCCAATAAGAATAAAAATATGGTGGAATTTAAAAAGAGAACAAAAACTTTTATCTTAAAACTTACTTTTGGGTTGTTTCAGATGGAAGCTCCACCTCTTTCTCCTTTTCCTCATATTAAGCAACAGCCAGGCTCACCACGCCGCATTTCCCAGCAGCACTCTGTTTATGTTTCCCCACACAAGAATGGGTCAGGCCTTACACCCAGGAGTGCTCTGCTGTATAAATTCAATGGCAGCCCCTCTAAGGTAAGGTGCACACAAACTTTACTCCAGAACAACTTATGTGCATGTGTTAAAAATTGGATTTCATATTACCAGTTATTTATCTTTAATCTTGTTCTTTTTTTCTTTATCTTTTTTTTTTTTTTTTTTGCAGTTACTACTAATAAATATGAACTGTTAACTATGACAAGTTTCCTGTGATCAAGAGCAGTGTATTCAGTTGGCGTAGTTTAATCCATTACTATTGATACGGTATTGGGAGTGTTCACTGCAAGAGACCGGTGTCTCCCATCTCAAGCATGATTTTGAGAAGGGACTAGTAACTAGGCAACAGCTACAAGTGGTCAGACATGGGGAACATTAAGTTTAAAGAAAGGCCTTGAAAGAGAGTTTATTTGGTGGATGGCAACAAGGATAGTAAAAAGTCTAAAGACAGAAGCCTCCTCTTATTTACACAGACAACTCTGTGGTCATCTCTAGCTTTATTCCTGTACAGTGGTGAAGATGTGACAGGACATGATTGCTGTTTTCAGATATTTCATGGGCTATCAAGCAGATGTGTTCAGTATGTCTCCAGAAGCCAGAATCACTTACCAACTGGAAGAAATTATAGTAACTGGACAAATTGTAACTCAGTCCAAATACAATGGCAGCTCCTTAACTCATTTGTTTCTCCTTCAGTTCCATAAACATCTGTTGAGTTCTTACTCTACTTAGCAAACAAAGCTGACTGAGATGTAGCACCTCACAGCTTGCATTTCTTCCTCATAGAAGTTGATTTCCTATAAGGATGTTTAGAAGAGATTCTTGCCTGAAATAAAAAATGGGAGCAATCGGCCTCTAAGGCAGTAATTTCAAAACCATAGTTTAGAAGCAGTTGGGGATCTTGTTGAACACAGATATCTATCCCGTAGACCTACCGAATCTGAAAGCTCTGGCAGGCAGTTTCTTTAGACCAGAGTTCCCCAACCTCCAGGCCATAGCTGATACCAATCCTTGGCCTGTTAGGAACTGGGCCACACAGGAGGAGGTGAGCAGCTAGTGAGTGAGCAAAGCTTCATCTGTATTTGCAGCCACTCCCCAGCACTAGCACCACCGCCTCAGCTCCACCTCAGATCATCAGGCATCAGATTCTCATAGGAGCACTGGTCCCTGGTGCCAAAAAGGTTGATGACTATGAAACACAGCCTTCAGGAAACACTTCTGTAAGGCCTTGCTACCAAGAGTGTGGTTTACAGACCAGCAACATCAGCATCACCTGGGAGCATTATAGAAATGCAGACTCTCAGGCCTCACACCAGCCCTACTGAATCTAAATCTGCATTTTAACAAGATCCCCAGATGCATAGTAGGCACATTAAAGTTTGCTCCAGGAAGAGGTTCTCAAACTTTAAGGAGCATTAGAATCACCTGGAGGGCTAGATAAAACATAGATTGCTGGGCCCCACCCCAAAAGTGTTTGATTCAGTAGGTATAGGGTGAGGCCTGAGAGTTTGTATTCCTAATAAGTTCTTAGGTGCTTTTGCTGCATCTGGTCTGGTTTCCACATTTTGAGAACTGCTGCTCTAAGGTAAACCCAATATTTAAAACCACCTGAAAAGATTAGTTCTAATTACCCTTATTAGGTCAGCCTTGATTCAAAAAATAATCTCTACCCCAGTATTTAGCTTTGGAAAGAGGATAGAGAGCAGGAAAAAGCAGTTCGCTTAGTTCTTTGCTGCCATTTCCCCCTTTTCCCCTTTTACTCACACGTGTCCTCTATTTTTGCAGAGTTTGAAAGATATCAACAACATGATAAGGCAAGGTGAACAGAAAACCAAGAAGCGAGCGATAGCCATTGATGGTGATACAGAATCCCCTGCCAAACGCCTCTGTCAAGAAAATGATGATATTTTACTTAAAAGACTACAGGATGTTGTCAGTGAAAGGGCAAATCATTAGTGCCCTTCCTGTTTCTGTAATAAAAGCACTTTGAGGTCGTTTTGCAGAAAGCACTTTCAGATTGTTTTGCTCTATCCTTCAAAACTTTCAGCCCTATAGATGATAACTATCACTGAATCTTAAAAATTACACCAAAATGATGCCCTTTTTTTTACATTTATCCAAAATGTAGTTGATAGAGATGTATTTTCAGTTAGATTGAAAAGGAATGTTTTAAGTGCCTTTTAAACATATTAACAGTACTAGAATTTTTTAAACGTTTGTTCCTTGGGTTAGTTTTTAAGATGAAGTAAGAAGAAACCTCTTAATTTTTTAGCTTACTTTTTAAAATAATCAAATGTCTCCTGTGTTTTGTAATATGAGGATAAATAACCTATTTTTGGTAAGTGCACTTTGAGATATTTGTGTTCTCAATTTAATGTTGAGTAGGATTTGGTTCCCATAGCACGTGGGTCAGAGGATGATGCACCAGCCTGCCTCTGACCCACTGTGGCAACTCCACATCCAGGTGCCACTACCGTTCTGGGTTATCTAGATCCCTTCTCCTGCCCTTCCTCTCTTTGAGTATATGCAGATTTGTACCTCAGCCCATGCACTACCCACCACTCTTTGCTTTCCAACCGTAAGCCTTCTTAGCCTGGTGTCACAACCTAATAAAAGGGGTATTTGCTCCTTTTTAAAACTACTATCATTTTATTTTTCTGAACCATTAACTTAATTATACATGACTATATTATATTTGAGAATTATATATAATTCTCAAAACAGGAAGCTGCTTCTCAAGCCAATAGAATAAAATTCAGATAAGAGCTATTAGAAATCAAATTTCCTGTTAGTTGGGTAGCAGCATGATAATGTGTGAGATACTGATTTGAGGTCATCATAAGATTAGTCATTCTCATTGTCTAGTTGAGTCCCTGAGAATAGTTAAACCTTTTTCAAAACCACATTAATATCCGCATACCTTATGGTGTATATCAGTATATATTACTTCCCCCTCTTTGTTCTCAGTATTATTGGTGCGTTGTGAGTTTCCCATTAGGATCTGAGCTCTGGGGCCCTTACGGATATTTTCCAGTACTACGTAGGGGGTGCAGCTTTCCAAAAAAGTCAGCTGTTCAATATTCACTTTTTCTATTGTGTTTTCAGAATCTGGAAGGACATGGATAAGCCATTCTTAATTATTTTTGAGAAAAAGTTATCAAATGTATATATTTTGACTGAAAATCTTATTTTTTAAAATGCAAAGTGTTTAACTTATGTCTAACCCTGGCTAATTTGAATTAATCTAATTCTTGGCTGTAAATTAGTAATTGTCATGAATTTTATTTTTAAATTGTAAGGAAAAATGTGATTTTGATCTGTAAATTACATCCACTTTTTTCGTGTGTAGTATCTACACATATAAGCCAAATAACATCAAATGTGTCTTGAGTCCTTGTATATATTTTTATGTACCTTTAAGTATTGTGTCATTTTCATCTTCATTATTGATGTGCAAATATAAGTGAGCATTTGTACATTGACTATATAAGAAACTCTGGCCTTTTTTTAAATCAGTTTTCAAGATGATATTAATGTATGTAAAATTATTAATAAACCATTGGAATTTTCGAGATTATTGAAAAGACTATATTTGTGCTCTTTTCTATGTGGCTAGAAGCAATTCTACAGCCATCTAGAATCTACATCTCTTTAAATATCTACTTAATATCTTTTAAATATTTAATGTAACTTAAAAGTTAATGTTCCTGGTGTTTTCCGTGGACTGAGGAGAATGGGGGAGTGAATGCCTGCTTCATGAGTACAGGGGTTTCCTTTTGGGGCGATGGAAATATTTTAGAACTTAATATAGGTAGTGGTTGCATAACATTATGAATTTACTAAATGACCCTGAATTTTACACTTTAAATGGTTAGTTTCATGATAGGTGAATTCACCTCAATTTAAAAAATGCCTTAGACACATACAAAGAAACAGGATTGTTTCAAGGTCTTAGAATGAATACGTGGACCAAATTATATTGAATTAAGGAAAAGGTTTTTTACTCTCAGGAGTAAAAAGTATATTTTTAAAGTATATTTCTTTCAAGTATATTTCTCCAGATGAAACTCACAGCTTAAAACATTTTTTCTAATTAAAATTTTTATTTGGTTAGATTATATTAAATCAGGTTTTTTAAAAAAGAAAAAATATTTCTTTTTTGGGGGGGTGTCCTTTGCAGTATTTTCACTAACACAACAAACAATATTAGCTGCCCACTCTGTTCTTGGCCCTTTGCTAGGTGCTAGATATATAAACATGAACCAGGCAGAAGTCCTGTCCTCAAGATATAATAATTGTAGCCCATTAATATAATGTGATAAATGTAGTACTAGAGCTGCATGCTCTTTTTCTGTATTTAATAGAGCAATGGCGTGAGCACCGAAGAGGGAATGATTCACTCTGACTGGGTGTTTCTGGGAATCTAAACTCACCTGAAAAGGAAACTAAATGGTAATTTAGTCCTTAGGGATGAACAACTTTGCCAAGGCAATAAAAGTATTCAGAGAACACAACCCGTGCAAAGGCCCAGAAGCATGAAGGTACTGTAGGTTTGGGAATTGCAGGTCCCTTAGTAAGGCTGAAGTGTAGTGTACATAAGCAAAAGTGTGATGCAAAGTAGGGCTGGAAAGGTAGTTAGGGCCTTCCACAGATGGGCTTTCTAAGCCATGTTAAGGAACTTAGGCTTGATCATTTCCACTGGTTCTCAACATTGGCTACAACTTGGGATCTTTGAAAAACACATCCATGGATGAGTCCCTCCCCCAGAGATTTCTGATTTAATTGGTTTGGGGAACTGTTTAGCATCAGGATTTTCCTTTTTTTAATTTTTTAACACCCACAGCACCTGGTATTCCTAGGTGGTCTCCCATCTGAGTACTAACCAGGCCTGACCCTGCTTAGCTTCCAAGATCAGACGAGATCAAGCACGTTCAAGGTGGCACGACTATAGTTGCATCAGGATTTTTAAATACTCCCTAGGTGAGCACCTAAGGTTGAGAACCACTGCCATAGGCCACGGAGATTCACTAAAGAGGTTGTAATTTTCAGTGGCTAATGACAAAATTTGATATTTATTTTAGAGCAGCAATTCCTTAACTTGTCCAAGGATAAGGATTACTTGAGATACATATTAACAATACAGATTCCTAGGCCCAAACCTTGACTAATGGAATGATAATCACCAGGGAAAGTACCTAGGAATTTTGTTTTTAACCTCAGTTCCAAGTGATCTTCACCCACAGATCAAGTTAGAGACCTGGCAGTGCTTCTCAAACTTTAATGAATTTAAGAAGCACCTGGGTCTAGGGGCATGCCACCCTGAACAAGCCCGATCCTTTTTGATCTCGAAAGCTACGCAGGGTCCGGCCTGGTTAAGACTTGGATAGGAGACCACCTAGGAAGACTAGGTCCTGTAGGCGTAAAAAAAAAAAAAAAATTGAAAATAAGGGATTGTAAGCTAACAAGGTCTTAGCAATCTGCGAAGTCAACCAAGGGTTGTCTCACCTAAAAAAAAAAAATCACCTGGGTTTGTTAATCGTGTTAAAAACGCAGTCTACTTCAGTAGATCTGGGGTTAGGCCTAAGATTCTGCTTTTCTAACAAACTCCCACATGATGCCATTGCTGCTAGTCAAAGGACTACACTTTGAATAGCAAAGTTTAGAAATCTGGAAGATGTGCAGAGGATGAAATAGAAGACGGTTAGACTGATAGATGAGAAATTAGGTTAGTCATTCTTAACTTAGGGTAATTTTGCCCCCTTATTGGACATTTGGCAATGACTGGAGACATTTTTGCTGTTTTCATTGTCACAACTGGGTGGGGGTAGGAGTGAGGGCTGCTACTGGCATCCAGTGGGTAGAAGCCAGGGATAGTGCTAAATATTCTACAATGCACAGGACAGCCAGGCCCCCATGACAAAGAATTATCCAGCCCTAAGTGTCAGTACTGCCAGTCCTTGAATTAAGTAAACACCTAGGCAAGAAGCACTATACACTTTAAGATACTGGTAGTGGGGCCAGAAGAAGAAGTACAGAGGATCATCTAACTCGGGCCGTATGGGTTCCCAGACAGGGTTGACTTCTTAAGGAAGATGACTTTCCAGGAAAGATTAATGGTAATAGATTCCAGGCCGGGTGACTAATACACAAGTAAGATTATTTGGCATCAGTGACAGACTCAATATATTAAGAGAAGAAAATAACTCCTGAGGTTTTAGATCCTATATCTAGGCAGTGGTTTCATCAAATTTCCCAATGGTAAGAGTCACCTTTGAGGACTTATTAACCGATGAGATTCAACAGCGTGGTGCACAAACAGTTTTGTTAAGTATCCCAGGCTGTTCTGATCAGGGAAGTTCAGAAAGTACTAGCCTAGAGTCCAGCAGAGGAGTATAATGGCCAAGAGTGTGAATGGCCAGGTTCAAATATCCTCCCTGACTCTGTACCACCAAACGAAGGAAGACTTCACTATTTACTTACCTCAGTTAAGTCATCAACACTTCGGGAAATAATTGATTTATTATAGAAAATAACATCATTGTAGAAAAAAATAGAATATATAGAATCAAAAAATAAAAACTACATTCCCACCACTCAGGTCACCTTTAAATTTTTTTAAAATTCTTTAGTACAATTATTTTTCACATGAAGGAAATTGTGCACCTCTTAAATTGCATACTATGATGACTTTTTCCAGCTTTACTGAGGTATGATCTACATAGAATAAAGTGCACCTTAATGTAAAGTTTGATGAATTTTAGTAATTGTATAGAGTTATATAACTACCACCACAATCCATGTAGAGAACATTTCCATCACTTTAAAAAGTTTTCTTGTGCCTTTGGATCTTCTCTTCCTCCCCCACATCCTCCCCACTACACCCCCAGGCGACTATTGGTCTGCTTTTTGTCAGTTTAGTTTTGCCTTTTCTAGAATTTTATATACAAGTGTATGTACGCACAGTATGTAGTCTTTTGTATCTGAGTTCTGCCACTTAGTATAATGTTTCTGAGATTCGTGTTGTATGTGTAAATATTTCTTTTTATTGATGAGTAATTTCCATACAATGGGTATACCACAATTTTCATTCACCAGTGATGGGCATTTGGGTTTTTTCAAATTTTGGTCTATTAATAACCATGAACATTTGCATGCAAGTCTTTGAACATATATTTTTATTTCTCTTTTATTCCCTCTTTAGCTGGATGGCTGGGCCAAATGGTAAGCATATGTTGAATTTCATAAGATAATTGCCATGTCCTTTTTCAAAGTGAACCATTTTCTGTTCCCATCAGTAGTGTGTAAGAGTTCCATTTGCTCCACATCACAGCCACCTCTTGATGTGAATCTTCCTAGACTTTTTTCAATGCATATGTTATAAATTTTTTAGGTAAAAATGAATCATATATATCACTTAATATATCAGAGTCATCGTTGTAATATCTAAATTATACTTCTCTGGACAATTCTAATGCTTGTGTTCCAGTGTCTGAATGTACCATTATTTATATTATTTTATCATCAAAGAAAGAAAGATTTAAAGGGTTTGGGGTGGGTTTTTTTTTTTTTTTTTGGAGGAAGGTTGAATTTGTTTCAGATATTGGCATTTGAAATAAATGTTGTTTAGTGAATCTAATGTTTGCAAAGTTAAGAATCAGGCATCACTTATAACATTATGATGCAGAGTTGTTCAAATACTAAGGATATTCATCACATAATGGAGTACCACATAGGCTCCCTTCATTCATTTGGGTCTCTGCTCAAGTTTCACATCATGGCACGTCTTAGACCAGCCCAGTCTTTCCTATTCTCTTAGCTAGTTTTATTTTTCTCCCCAGCACTTAAAAATCTACTCAAGTATTATCTGCATTCATCACTAATAACTTAGTAATTGCATATATATATAAGCTCCATATAGGTGGTACTTTTTTCTCTGTGATTTTCTCGGAGTGTAGAATGATACACTGAAGGAATTATAAGCTTGACATTTGTTGAATTAATGAGTCGAATGAGGCTTAGCGATGCTTTTTATAATAATTATATCTCACTTATGTTGAGCATTTTCTTTTTTGTTTTTTAAATAATTTTTTATTTTTCAATTACAGTTGACAGACAATATTCTATTAGTTTCGGGTGTATAACATAGTGATTAGACATCTATAAAACTTATGAAGTAATCACCCCGATAAATCTAGTCCCCATCTTACCCCATACATAGTTATTACAATATTATTGACTATATTCCCTATGCTATACTTTACATCCCCATGACTATTTTGTAACTACTAATTTGTACCTCTTAATTCCTTCCCCCACCTTCACCCATCTTGTGTTGAGTATTTTCTATGTGTCAGACTCAATTCTCATAAAACCCTACAATAAAACTGTTTTATAGAAGAGGAAATTAAAGCTTAGAGATTTTAAGTAACTTGCCCAAGGTCACACAATTTAAATCCAAGCATTCTAGTTCCATAGCCCAATTTTTTTAAGTCGGTGAAGTTGAGGGTTTTGTGTGATAAAATATATGTAACATAAAATTCACCATTTAACCATTTTTCTTGTTCACCAAATTTATTGTT